GCCTTCCAGCTTTGTTACCCTCCTCTGCGCGCATTCAAGGACCTTAACAACCTCCTTAAATTGTGGGGCCCAGAATCACACACAGTATTCAAGGTGAGGCTGCACCAATGCTGAATACAGTGGGATAATCACCTCTTTTGACTGGCTGTTATGCTGTGTTTGATGCATCCCAGGATGCGGTTTGCCTTTTTGGCTGCCGGGCACAGTACTGACTCATATTGAGCCTGCTGTTGACCAGCACCCCCAGATCCCTTTCTGCAAGGCTGCTCTCCAGCCACTCTTCTCCCAGTTTATACTCATGTCCGGCGTTCCTCCATCCCAGATGCAGTATCCGGCATTTGGACTTGTTAAATTTCATCCCATTAATCATTGCCCAATGCTCCAATCTATCTAGATCCCTCTGCAAGGCCTCTTATCCCTCAAGAGAGTCAACAGCACCTCCCAGTTTAGTATCATCAGCAAACTTGCTAATGATGCATTCAACTCCTGCCTCCAGATCATTGATAAAAATATTGAACAGGACTGGCCCTAGAACTGAGCCCTGAGGAACACCGCTGGTGACTGGTTGCCAGCCAGATGTAGCCCCATTCACTACGACCCTTTGAGCCCTGCCGTTCAGTCAGTTCTCCACCCAGCGCACCATGTACCTGCTCATCTCACAGTTGGACAACTTGTCCAGAAGGATGCTGTGAGGGACAGTATCAAAAGCCTTACTAAAATCCAGAAAAACTACATCCACCGCCTTCCCTTCATCCCCTAGGCAAGTGACATTACTGTAAAAAAATATCAAATTAATTAACAGGACTTTCCCTTTGTGAACCCATGTTGACTCTGCCTTGATGGTTGCATTATCCTTTAAATGCCTTTCAAAAGCACCCAGTACGATCTTCTCCATAATTTTTCCAGGTACTGAGGTTAGATTAACAGGTCTGTAGTTCCCTGGGTCTTCCCTCATGCCCTTCTTGCAAATTGGAATAACACTGACTAGCTTCCAGTCCGCAGGGACCTCCCCAGACTCCCAAAACCTTTAGTAGATGATTGAGAGGGGTCCTGCTGTAACAGCCGCTAGCTCCTTCAGTACTCTGGGATGAATCTCATCTGACCCCATGGACTTAGGGACATTCAGCTGATACAACTGGTCCCTTACAATTTCAATGTCCACAAATGGAAAGTCACTGTTCCCACAGTTGTGGTCCTCCAACTCAGAGGACCGGGCAGCCCAAGGTCTATCAGTATTATTATCAGGGTTCACCCCATCACCCTGCAGACTCCAATCGGGGGATGCTGGGCCCCATCCAGCCCCACATCTGAGCTGGGGCCCAAGCACTATGTCCACTCTGACCCGAGGGGTGGCAGGAACTGAACACAGAAAACCGTCTTTGGGTCACCACGTGACCATGTCCTGCGGTGTCTCCATGGGGGGTGAGGGGTGCAACCACCTTCAGCAAATGGACACACAGAGCTTGGGGCTGGAGGCATTGGTTTGATGGCTCTACAAATAGGAGAAAATCCCCAAAACCAAGCCAAGTGCTGCCTTTGATCTCCCATGGGAGGAAGCAGGGGAGCCCAGAGGGCTGGCCAGCAGTGGCTGGGGTGTGGGGAGAGCTTGTGGGACTTTATCCCGCAGCCTCCAAGGGAGGCACGAATTGTTGTTGAATGAACCCTCTTGCCACATGTGCCTGGCGATGTCTGCCACTGCCAGGGCGACCTGACGAGGCCCTGGAAGGACATGGCCGAGGCCTTGGTAGCTGGCGTGAGACACCGATGCTGAACACAAGACAAGCAATGGTGGGATGGAAGGGGCAGTGGCATTGCTGTAACTCCAGACATGTGTGCTGGGGCTGGACCGCTGCCAGGGGGAGCACGCAGGTGAGGATGTCTGGTTGTGATGTGCCCGCACGATGGATGATGATGTCACCGAGCGATGGGTGCTGATGTTGCTGAGGGATGGACTGTGACATCTCCAAGCAATAGACTGTGATGTCCCCGAGCGATGGATTGTGACCATGCGTCCATCGTTGCTTATATCTGGGCACCGAGTCTCACCCAGCTGGGTCGTGCCCGCACTCCAGCTGAGCGGGTATGTGAGGTTTGGAGTATTGTGCAAGGCTGTTGTTGGTGCTGAGGTCGTGCTCGGGGAGTTGTTCACTGCAGCTCTCGGTGCCTGACCCCAGAGCCATCAGAGGATTTTCCCCAGCCCTGCCTGGTTCAGGCAGCCGGCGTACCCAGGAGGTGTGCTCGCAGCAGCAGAGGTGAGCTGTGCGGGGAAACCTCACCCTGGGGTGGGGAGCTGGGAGGGTTTTCTTCTTGAGGGACCTGGGCGTTTCTTCCACCCCTTGTCGGGCCAGCCAACAATTGTGGCCTCTCTTCCTTTTCTAGCACGACACCCACTGCTGCAGCGGCACTGAGAGGGAGCGGCTTGTCATCTCTAGCTCCCTCGAGCCCACCACAGCAGGTGGAAGGCACGGCCATGGAGCTGGAGAACCGCTGTCCAATATGCCTGGACAGCTGGGAGGAGGCCAGCTATGTGATGCCATGCCTCCACCAATTCTGTTACACCTGCATCCTGCGGTGGGCTGAGAGCAAGCCCGAGTGCCCCCTCTGCAAGAGGAGGGTGACTTCCATCTTGCACTCGGTGCGGGAGGATGACGACTTTGAGGAGCGCATCATCCCACCACCTGCGGCACCATCAGTTGTCGTCCGCCTGACAGGAGGAGCTCCCAGACACCCAGCCGCCCACAGCCTCCATCACCCTGCAGCACCCCGGCCAGCAGCTGCGGGGCCGCTGCCCTGGGCTCCAGTGGGCGGCTTCCATGCCTATGTCTGGGCATCCCTCTTCCGCGTCCACCCCACTGTCCTCCATCCCCTGCTGCCCTGGCTGCATCAGGAGCTGGGGCAGCTCTTTGAGGATGCCCAGGAAGCAGCAGCAGTGCAGCGCCTCGTCACATCCAGTCTACGATACTTTGGCCTGGATGAGGAGGCTCTGATCCAGCTGCTGCGGGAGGCCCTGGGCAGGCACACAAGGAGCTTTGTCCATGAGCTGATTGACACCATCGTGCACCGGTGCAGCGGGGAGGCCCGACGTCGAATGGGCCTGGGGAATGCTCGTGCTGCCAGGGGGCAGCAGGATAGCACCGTGGCTACCCCTGGCCCCACTGCCTCCCGAGGACGGTCTCCTGCCCCCAGTCCAGCCCTTCATGAGGGTCCTGGCAGCCCTCCCTCTACCCCCATTCCCACCCATGGGGAGCAAGAAGAGGCCCAGGAGGACCCAGAGCAGGCTCTGCCTGGGCCTTCCATGCGCAGCTGGGGCAGCGAACGCTCCCCTGGGGGGCCACGGCGAGCCCCAAAGAGGAGGGCTGGCAGCTCCAAGGACCCTTCCCAGCCCCCCAGGAAGCCACCCCATCATGAGTGACACTGGCAGGGTGCCTCAGGGGCTGGCTAAACCAGGGCACACACCAGCCCCTTGTGGTCCTGGTCTCCCAGATCTAATTACCATATAATAAAAGAAAGTGAAAACATGAAAACTGCAGAAAAAGACTCAGTATTATTATCAGTCCCGTTGGCATTGCTGTCCCCACCTGTGCTGCTTTCTCCCCCTTCTCCTGGTGCTATGGCTGCCATTTCCTCACGTGTCCGCTGGGCCCTATGGCCACTAGGGTTAGCCTGGTGGGAGAGAGGGTGCATCAATGCACCCTCTGGCCAGGAGGGGTGAGATGTTGATGCTCATGGGTCCTTCTACATGTGCCATGTACTATTTTATTGTTCCCCCCAAAAGCAAGTGCTGCCCAGCCCCAGGTCTGCATCTCTGCACCTGGTCCCAGGGCAGATGTTTATATCCTGCGGGTCTCCAGGGCCAGCCTATGCCCCATCGCTCATCACATCAGGCCTAGCCTCCTCCACCGCACCCTCTGGCCCCACGTCCTGGGGCTCTGCTCTCCTACCAGCTTGCACTGCCCGGTGCAGCCTTGCTATGGCAGCACCCAAATCCTTCCTGTGCAGAGTCACAACTTGGTGCTGCTGTGTCAACCTAGGGTTGTACCCTGCCAGGGCAGGAGCCCCAAGAAGTTCAACAAGGGGAAGTGCAAAGTCCTGCACCTGTTTTCAGTGGAAGAGAAGTGGGTGAGTGTGCAGAACAGGCAAAAGAATAAAAAAAAAGGCCCAAATGATGAATATCATGAAATGTATTCAAGCCTTTGCCTTGCCTTGCCTTTGCCTGGCTGGTGAATAGAATGGAGTGGAGAAGTAGAAGAGCTGTTTCAGAGGGGGCAGGGTGTGTGCAAAATTCCACGGTGGGGAGCCAGCAGCAGTGGGCAGCTGGGGAAGAGGGCACTCCCTGCAGTTCCCTGCCTCTGGTGGATGTGATCGCAGGAAGGGGTGCATCAAAAAGGGCAGGAGACTGGCTAGTTTCACCTTCCCCAGCTTCTGCATTATTGAATCTCCCCAGCCACCTCTGCTGGGAGAAAGGACAGGTGCATGGCAGAGGGACCATGCTACAAGTGCTTGCTGCAAGTTGCACTGGCAGCTGAGAGAGAGTAGAGAGGGACACAAACTCAATTTGCTGGGAAACAGCTCTAGAGGCACTCGAGTGCAAGCACTGGAAGTGCTGCAGACGTGCTGTCTCGAGTTAGGTACAATCTATGGGGATGTGGAAAGCATCCTCGAGGCAGCACGCTCCCCCTTCTTGCCATACACACACAGCTGTGTGAGGGGATCGCTAGCATTTGCTTCTGACCAAGAAAAGGCTCAGAGTGCCTGGGAATGTGAGTCCTAAGCAAAGTAACCAGCCCCTTTGTGTTTGGATTTACTGACCCAGCACTGAGCTGATTTGGCTTCTGGGGACTGGAGAAGCACATGAGCAAACGCGCTTCTCTCTTCTGGTGGGAAGCTGGTTTGATGCCTTATTACTGTAATTGCCAAATCCAGCAGTCATTGCAGGCTGTCTCCAAGACTTCATCCTCTTTCACCCTCTGCTCAGGAAGGATAGCCAGCCTATTTTGACAATGCTCACAGAAAAGTGCTTGGGATTTGTTTATTCTGGACTATGTCTCTGGGCATCCTTGTTCCTGTCTTTCTTTAAAGGTAAGCTCATCTGTGGTTGTCCAGTTTTTTGGGTTTTTTTTGTTTTTCTTTTATTTTTTCTAAACACTAGTCCCATCCTACCCCAAGTCTATTTTCAGAAGGACTGGTATATGCTTATAGTTTAAACTTTGTTAGAATCTCGTGCTGGTCCCTATGAGTTTTGTAATCAGATCGAATAAGTTTGTGGATCTTACAGTGCTGGCCACCTTCTTTTAAGAAAGGAAAAGGTGTGGGGCTTTTTAATGAAAAGTGAGTCATTTACACTTTCAGAAATGAATTTAAATGATTGTGTTTCAAAAGGAATATGTTCTTGCTCTCCTTTAAAAATTTAACATATCTGTGGTTTTTTGGGAATGAGAAATTATAACTCCAGGCTGGACAGCATGGCTGTCAGAACCCTGTAGGTGTGAGGGTGAAATGGTGGAGTTCTACAAAGAAAGATGACCAGAAGAAAATTCTTAAGTGTTTACTTTCTATGCATCATTTGGGAAGATTTATAGCTGCATAAATATATAAATTTACAATTTCTGGTTTGTTTTTCTCTTCTAATGTTTAGTATGTTTAGTAAGAGTCCTTCCAGGCAGTGATGGGTATAAGTTGGAAACATCTAATAAAAATAATAATGGGCTTCTGTAGTCTAAGGTGTCACCTGTGACCAAGCTATCTTCTGAAGTTTCAGCATGTTACAAACAAAAGTAGGAACTGTGTGATTATTCCAAAACATGGAGGATTGCAAGGCTAACAATACATTTTTAAATGAGAAGGGAGGTTGAAATAGCCGCAGTCCTGAAAGATGTTCAGGATTCTACACAAAATGTGCTTTTTTTCCTCCCTAACAGCTTGTTATATGAAACATCTGTGCCTGCAGCAACTATAAATTCTAAAACTGAGTATTCCAGGTGTGACAGACCATGTCATGTTACCCACAATTTCTGCACAGAGAAAGGATTGTCTTTTTAAAGCAGAGAAAGTGGTCTGCATATTTCAGAAGCACAGAGGCATGGGAAACTTAGGTATATGTGATGTTGCACTGGACTATTCATGCCACGCAGATAATTCCTTGTTAGTTTACCTGAATCTTCAAAACATCTATGCATTTCATTATTACAGCTCCACATTTCAGCTGCCTAATGCAGCAATGGTATTACAAAAGAATGTTTCCCCACCTTGCTAAATTAAGAACCTTGCTGTCTTTGTTTGTAAGATATTTCTGTGCTACTTCAGGAGCTGAACTAACAGGCAGGTGATGGCAGCTAGTTATGACTCACTTTGTGTGCAGTCCCATTTTGAGCAGTTGTGTATCACGTAAATACTGCCTTTTAAATACTGAGTAATCACTAATTCGACAGGGGGGATGCTTAGTTTCTCTGAGCAGCACATGAAGACGCAAACTGCTTTTATAAATAATTCAGAGGATTTTGTGTTAGGTGCTTTTACCAGCAGCTTACAAGTATGCACTTTTACAGACAACTGCTAAAGCAGAATGAAATGAACCTCTGATTAAGATGGTCTGTATTTGACCTCTGCTTTGTGGATAGTTTTTTTTCTTTTTAAAGAAAAGAAAAAAAAGAAGAGCCACAGGAATTGTGCAGTTGGGTCAGAAGAGAAAAAAGTCCAGATGATCTTAGCATGTTTTCAGTAGCAGAGTCTTTTAACAGTAAGCTCCAAACTCCCCCAGGATTCCTCAGTGCACCCACATGGAAGTCACAGCAGGTCCATCATAACTGATATCACTCTCACGTAGTGCGGAGTTGTTTCAACAATTTCTCAACTACTCAATTGTAGTCAACAAACTACTCAACTGCTCAATTGTAGTCAACAATTACAACAATTTCTCAACTACTGAAAACTCCTGTTGCAGGGCTGTTTTACAGGAAAGTTGTGAAAAGGACTAGGTAAAAAACAAAACAAAACAAAACATGAACTGCTCAGTCATTTTTCCCAGTCCTTTCCACAACTTTTTGCTTCAACTTGATTCCGCTTGCACTACTGCTAGGAGCCCTGACAGACATGTCATTCATGTTAGGTCATTGCAGCCCTCCTTCCTGAAGAGCCTGGAGCTAGTGATGCTTTCTTGGGACATGGGCCCCAGGGAAAATCAGAAAACTGGTCCTCAGCCTCCCTGGATCCTAGATGACATGTCTCAGAGCCAGACGTCCCTTCCAGGCCAGGTGCAATCCTTGAAGGAGCACCCAGAGGATTGAAGGACCCTGTGAGTCCCAGCAGCTACATGATAACCTCAAGTGGAGGGACTTGAAAACCCTGCTCCAGGGAGAGATTGGAAGAGAGGGATCAGACGCACTTCTGCTCCTTTCTCTGAGCATGGTGCAGTCTGAGAGCCAGGGTGCAGATGACCTTGCAAGGGAGTCCTTCCCCTGAGAAATATGTCACAGTGACCACATGGGCATCTACCGTCTCTGAGGAGCATTACCTTCAGCTCAGTGCACAGGCACCTGCTGGGTTTGAACATCTGGGGAAATTAAGCATGCACTTTGCTAGTCTCCAGCCAACCCATGCATTCTAATTACTGTGCTTTTATGGCCTTTTTTTTTAAGTGAGGCCACTAAGGTGCCACACACACTACACAGAGCAGAGTCAGACCTCTTAGTTTCTTTGCTCTGTGCAGCCTGACATCAGGGTCATACTCTGGCCACGTGGCTTTGAAAAGCCCAACAAAGGCAAAGGCAAGCTGAGGACAGAGCCCCTCCTCTGCAGTCTGGTGGGAATGTAAGTGCTCAGCAGTATGGGACAAATCCTATGGCAGGGGATGCTACAAGTGAGCTAACCAGCTAAAAGATGTAAATTATGAAGTAACTCAGCCTGACTTGGTGTACCCAGCCAGTGCAAAACAGCTTTTCTTTGGCTCACTCACAATACAGAATTGAATTCCTGTGCTGCACTCATTTCATGCTTTCTTACAGCTTTGCTGATTTAGATGAGCTCTAGCGATCACATCAGAACACAGCTGATGATAATCTTTAGGAGCAAATCCTCACAAGGATACTGTTCTTGGTTCACTTCCATGCAGGCAGGTGCTGTTTCTGCAGCAGCAGTAACATTGACAAGACAGTCTCAAAAGGCCAGATTCTACCAAACTACAATTGCTCTAATGTGAGCTAGTTAGACTGAGGTGACACAAGTTTAGAGATGTGTGTAGCAGGAAGAACCAAGGCTGGTACTTAAATACCTATATATGGAGTCTAAACTTTGGGCCTCAGCTGGTAGGACTGATGGAACTGCAGTGTGCTGTGTTAATTGAACTGGTTTACTCCAAGGAGTAAGCTGTTGAATACTGTTGAATAGATGTGAGAAGTCCTGTGCCTTAATAGAGTACAATGTCATTGGTAATTTAGGTGGTTGGTGAAGGAGCTCCACCTTTAGATCTCGTAAATGTTAGATCTCGTAAACGTTACCAGACTAGAACCAGGTGTTCAAGTCAGATAATTTAGAATTTTTCATACTTTTAATTTGAGGTCTGAAGGTCACATTCACCTCAGTTCGCCACATCCTCTATGTTGATGTTCTGAGTTGTATCACCCCACTGAGTGATACACAGTTTCAAAGATAACAGTGCAGCTGATGCAAGTTTAAAATAGAAAATATAGGAGGAAGACCTTTGCTTGTCCAAGTAGGTCTTTTCTTCCATATTGGCTAAAAAGATGCCACACGTGTCTTGCAGAAATGGGAAATTACTGCCAGATCCCTGCTCTTACTATAACATCTGGGAGCACAGACACCAGAGTCTGGTCACTCTGGATTCTGAGAGCATGCTAAGGCATCACATATGCATGGAGTCAGGATTGAATGCACTTTTCACAGCACATGTCTGTTTATAGGTGTAAGTCTGCTCTGTGATCAAGAACACTAGTGCAGAAAGGTGTCAACACATTTAAGACAGGCAGGCAGAGCCCTAGGCAAATCTCTGAGATGATTTCCTGTGAGTTACTGTCTGCTGCAGTAACTTGCTGTACATGCTTGCCTCTTGAGATTGACTTTTCAGTTCAATGAACCAGACTTCATGTTGAGTCACTAATCTTCTATGTGTGTTCACTGGCACAGCTCTAAGGCTGCTCTGTATTATTGTAGGCACAGTTGCAACTGTGGAACTGGCCCAAGCTTGTGAGAAGTCGCCATGCTCCAGGGAAGTTGGGGGTATTTCCATGCACATTTGCTGATAGTGATCTGGGCTAAATCTTTTCATTTTAACTCTCCTCAGATCTCACTAGAAAAAGTGGGAAGGTCCAGAAAAAGCACCTGGTCCCTGACATCACCAGCACGTATTGTTATATGCACCTATTGGTATAGCACTCTGTACGTAGGGAGGTGTCCAGAAGCAGATACAGTGCACGAGAAAGTAGCATCCATCTTGTCTTTGGGATGATGCCAGATGGTGCCTTGGGAGCCTTCAGCCTTGCTCCAGTGCAGGGGGGCTTATGATGGTCTCAGAGCAGAAGTTCCTGTTCCAGGCACAGGATTCATGTCCTAAAGACAGCTCCAGACCTTTTTTCTCCATCTGTTTTTTTCTCTTAAGACATGTGGAGGAGAACATGAGTTAGTGATGGCGGTAACATATTGGATGATTATGTCAGCAACTGTAAACTTTTCCAAGCAGTGAAAGAGGTATTTTATGTCTCTGTGGTGCAGTGAGAACAGTGAACAGCAGCATCCCTTCTCATAGCTGCATGTTGAAGTAACTTTCCAGGGTCTAAGAATGGGTTACATCAGTCACAAAACAGGAAATATTTCCATCTGAACATGATGGCTGAGATTTTCAAGGGAATGCATGTACCCAAATGCCATTCGATTTCACTGTACATCCTGAACAAAGTGTTAGTGCAGAATTTCATTTGTATGTTACAAGCAAGGAGGGAGATATAAAGCCTTTCCAGCTCTAGGGTGTGATTAAGTTGATCAAACCCCTTTGCATCACTCCTGACACGGTTGTTCAAGGATGCCTACTGCCTAGAGATGCTGCATAATCTAATTAAAGAAGAGAGCAA